ACCAAATAAACCCCTCCCCCCGGGATACATGTAGTTCCCAAACCTGCTCAATGCCATTTCCAGCCCTCTACTTTTTTGGACACTGAGAATCTTTTTTCATCCATAATTTTATCAGTTCTGCCCTCAGATGGAAGCCCTCAAACCCAGGGAGCTAATCCTGGCCTACATGTACCATACATGTATATTTCTACAATATTTTTTTTCACCAAACAATCTCCTTTTTTCAAAAGAAACTGCAGGGGCACTTTTGATGGTAATAATCTCAGCAGAAGTTATTACAAGCACCCAAATCCATGTACATGTACCAACAGCAAGAATACTACAGAGATGCATGCATCTCTCAGTAAACCCTTTGTTGTTATTCATATCTGCATGTACATGTACACGTACTTGAAACACATTTTATTTTGTTCGTATATGAAATTTCATCAACAGAAGATTTCACTCAGCATCCCATCCCACAAGGCTAGGGTCATGTGTACATCGTACAATCACAGCTTCAAATTTATAGGGGAAGGAGCTGCATTTTCCGTCCAGTATTCATTCATTTTATTCTCAATCCTCTTTTCCCATTTACAGGACTTTGTCATTTGTGCATGAGCAAAGCTGGCTGAGGGAAAAGGGTTTGGGAGTTCTGTTTCCTAATTTTCATAGGGGCGTAACGATTCAATGATGCATTGATAACTGCAGTACTGAAAGTCCATGATACGGTTTTGTGACACAAAACTGTATATTGGAATACTTGAAGGGTGGGACCATATGTCATGCACTTGAATTTGAGGGAACATTACAGTAAAGTTGGAAGTTGAACACAAAACAAGAATCTGTTCTTAAGGTTATATTTTTGAGGTAAGGCTTCACTTTGTGGTCCAACATAGCCACCCTGCCAGGTAAAAATGGGTTACGAAAGGGTAAAAATGCTGAATTCTGCCAAGCTTGGAGACCACGCAATGTGGCCCACTACGTGGAAGACCATGAAAAAAGGATGCACCATTTGTGGTCCAAACAAAAGTGGTATTGCTGTGCCAAGATGTTAGGACAAAATCAGTAATTGGTAAGTTGCTCAAATACCTTGAACCACAGAGCAACATACATGTACATGTAAAAGTAGTCCAGTAGCGTCATCAATTAGTTCTTTTTAAACAATTTCCTGTGAACATTCTTTCAGTGTTTTTTTCAGTAGTAGAACGTTAATTCTCCTCGCATGGTCGCTGGACTGCTTGAACATGTTGAATGTGGCACAGTGCATCGCCGATGTCCAAAGTGTGTACCCTGCAGTGGCACAGCACACACTAGCAATTAGTCATTTACCATGCTACTTACATGTAGGTAGTTATGGTGTGTGGTCAAAATGTTCCCTGTTTCTACCAAAACTGATTTTACTTGCATGAATCCAGACTGACTTTCAAATGACTGACAAAAATGACTGCAGTTTATGGATGGACATGTCCACATGTGTACATGTACTGTCACAAAAAATAACGATGTGGGCACTTACACGTATTAAGTACAAAGGAGTCAGGAGAAGTTTTATAATGCGGTGCTGTGCTGTCTCCACCTCTAAAATTGTTTTCATTGTCTCCTCTCTGCAGGTTTCTTCAGACTTGCAAGCTTTAGTGCCCTGGACACTTTTGAGGAATCCTTAGTTTCATAACCAGGAGAGTTAATAATAATAATAAAACATGCAAGGGGATTAAATATTAACATGTTGCGACTGGACTGCAGTGGCAGTCAGCCTTTTTTGTAAAAATGACCAGCACTGAATCTTTGTGCGGTGTCATCATGAAATATAATGTTCCCATTGCCTGCGTCCCATCCATAAAATAGCTTCCACACAATACACAAAACCACCCACACAATACACTGTACATTACAGAGCCAGCTACAGCTGCACGAACATTGTACATTTCTAGTAAGCCTACATGTATGCATACAGGTAAGTCCGTAAGCTCCCATTCATACATCCAATTTATGCCACAGGCATAAATAGAACAAATTTCAATAAACTGAAAATATGAACTCATCCCATTTCACAATGTTTGCAGATACCTCAATTAATGTAATGTCAGAACCTTCTTTTCAAGAATGTACATGTATTGTGTCACACTTCTGCCAAGAATAATTGATGGCAATGCCAGCAGGCAAACAATAATGCAGAATATGTCTCTACCCGGGGGAAACTAACAAATTGCAAACATAAATCATTTAAATAATGCATTTGGCATAACAGCTCAACTTTTGCAGATCTACCCATTTTACTGAATTGGAATCCATTAGCTTTTAACCAACAATACCATTTCTTCAGTGAACATCAATGTCCCCCCCCATAATAATGACAGGAATTTGGACTGTCATGCAACGTTTTTGTTAAATGGTACATGTACATGAAGTTGCAATTACTCTACATGTATTTTAATACAAACCTTCAAAATGCACCTCTGTGTCTCAGTTAAACTCATTTTCAATTTAGGTTTTGCTTCCGATTACATGCCTCTCAAAAATAGGGTCGGAACATATAGGTCAGGAGGTTTTTCTTTGGGAGGGCGGGTTTCAATAGCTTTGTGCTGATTGACAGGGATGAAAGCTACCAACAATTGCCCCAAAAGGTGATACAAATTGCCTTAATCAATGTAAAAATATCTACAGTCGACAATTCTTAAGAATTATCGACAATTCACACCACTGTGTGCAACACTAGTAAGAAAATCATGACGGTAAATGGGCCAATAATGTTTGTACATGGTAAGCATGCGTGATGCATCCAGAAAGGTGGGCAACATACCGGTACATTGTGTCCAGCAGGAAATTTTGTGGAAACATGCTCGCTTCAAGTATGAGCAATGATTAAATTAATTAAATTCATGAACACGGAAAATACATACATGTATAGACAAGAGATCAAGTTCTGTGAATTAACCTACAGAAATCTTCTTGCAACACTGATGTTTTTACGACATGCAGTCATACAGCTGCGTGCGTGTATGATGCTATTTTGCCTAGAATACATACATGTAAACTGGTTGCCGCATTTCCATCACACCTTCTTTAGTATGGGGGCGGTGCAGCAGGAACCAGTGTAGCATTGCTTCAATACATTGATCATTATTGCACACATTTCGAAATGCGAAGGGAACTAGTAAAAAAACTGGAAGTTTCTTTTCAAACGTTGCAAGTGAAAGTAGGAAGACAAATCAATACAATCATTTTAACGTAAAAAAGGCTGTTCAGAAGTGTTTTTGGAAGACAGAAAAGACAACAGGATTATTTCTTTTTTAATTTCAATAATTTACACGAAAGGGTTCACAAATAAAATGGTTGAACCGAATTATCTTCCGAACATATGTACAGTGTGTATGTTAAACTGGTTCCGGCAAATACATGTGCATGTATAAACTTTCTGTAGTTAGTGACACATGTACACTTGTGAGCACATAATTATGCGGGCTTGTACTACATGTGATAAGGCTGTGCCAAAGATCCCAATATCTGGATATTCAATCGAGTATCGAGTATATGAATATCATCATTTCAATTTAAATATTCGAATGCAAAATTCATGAAAATGAAGGGATAATTTTCTATTGTTTAAATGAGAAAAATTGCACTTTAAAGGCTCGTTTCCAGCAGATTGAAATGAAATCTCAAAATGATTCAAAAGTAAATTATTCATTAAAAAATTTTAAAGGAATAGAAATTTTCAACAGGACAAGAAGTATTGATCATCTCTAAATCTTGCTACATTGTGGCCGGAGATACTCCAAGACGTGAAAAGCTTTTATAGAGATTATGATGTACAGTTGTGTGCGTTATTGCAACTGATTTGTTCATCAATAGTCTGCCAGTCGGTAGGACTGATTATTTGGATATTCGATCGAATTAAAGGTCAAATATTCAAATAGTGAATTATTCAAATTAACTCAGCTCTAACACATGACAACACAAATTTCACACATACACGAAGTACCTTATAGACTGGATTCATGATGAAGTTATCTGTCATCCATTCACAGACTGCAATATTGAAGGCTGGCTTGTCTTAGTGGAATGCTGTACTCGTTACTCAATGTTACCTGCCCATACTCTTCAAGTGATTGGTTGGGTTGATAAAATCCTGCATAAAGAAATTTCAAAAGACCAATAGAAAAAGATTAGGGGGGATTACTAGACTTTGGGGTTTTAAATAGTTTAAATATACTGGCATACACTGTATACTTTAAACACCTGATGACCACCAGATTCCAAGCAATGGTTACAGCACTTTGATTCATGTAATATGAATCATACAGTACATGTCCACCTCTAACAAAAGTGCACACCAGAAGGTCCACCTCAGCTGATGTGCAAGATGGCTGGTTATGTGGAAACCAAAACTGCAATCACAAAAAGCTAACTAATCAAGGCCATATGTGGCCATTTTCAACAAATGCATCCACCCTGGCCAGGCAGTAAACCTTTATACATGTACATTGCAGCAATTCTTTAAAGTACTGAAGAACCCTAACCCCCTGAGGTGTACATGTATGTAAAAATCATATTCAAATTTGATTTGGGACTATAAAGGCTGAAAGGAAAAAAAGACACTGAATAAATGTATGTTATTTCAAAACCTGGTTTTTTTTTTTTACAATTTATGCAAGTTGCACTGCATGTCTATCCCACCAAAAAAGGATCGAGTCTTGTAATAATTTTGGAAATGTCTGATATGATATACTGTCGGATATAAAGTATATTGTGTAAAATGAGTGAACTTTATACATGTGCATGCACCATATTCCCATACTATCACGTTTGATGTTTTTAACATCCGTAATCCATTTAACATGCGTTACAACTGAGCTACTGCATCAAATGTCAACATTTAAAGAAACAGTATTATGAATCCATCTGTTCACAGAAGAATATGCACAACACAGATCATGTTATACAGCTACATGTACACATGAAGTATTAACAAAGGGATGCATATTTAATGCAGTGGTTTCTTTCATTTTTGTTTCCAGGAACGCAAGCTGATAGATTACAGTTACAGTAAAGAAAGTCCAAGAATATTGAAAAAACTACATAATTATATACATGTAAGTCAACGTGTAAGTAAAAAAAAAGTGGAAGTCCTTCCTTTTAACTTTCTACAGACTGTGATGTAACTTTCAATTAGAAAAAGCTTCAACTGCAAAGTTCACTCTGCAAGTAAAAAACTAGGGGAAAAAGTTATTAAATCCAAATGTATTTCTACAAATATTTAAGTCTACTATTTCTGTCAATGGGAGAGGTATGGTCCACACTTGAGGGCATGAGGGGAGAGCATGGGATATAGGGTGCAAAATTAAATTATTAGTCTCAGAAATATTTTCAGTGGTTGCAATGACCGAGAAAGAAACTGTCTAACCTGGGATAAGGAAAGAGTTCCTTATCTGGCCATAAAAAAATCTTATTTTTACAAGTATCAGAAAGTTGAAAAGGGGATGACTTCTGGGGGAAATTTAATAGCAAGAGGGGTACAGAGCCTAGAGAGAACAGGTTTTAAAAAGAAACATCCTCAGTTTTAAAAAAGTGTTGTTGGAGATACATGTACAATCTTTCAATTCCTGCTACTGCCACTCACAATCACTCACTGTATAAAATACAGTTCAAATTCTACAGCTCTCACATGCCAAATCAATGACATATATGTACATGTATACCTACATTTAGCAGAAAGATATTGATGTCCAAACTTGCTAAACTCTCTTTTGTTTTGCATACACAGTACACACAATGCCTGAGACGTCCATACAGACGGACTGTGTGCTGAACTTGGACTTGGCCCTTAATCAGGCCTGTTGCTGAATAGCCCTGTGGGTACCCTCATAATGTTGAAAACTCAATGAGGTTATGATAAAGGCAGTTGTAAGAATAGCCTGCCACTCACCCCAATTTGTAGCTGGATGAATGTACAGAAGCTAAATACATGACTAACCAATGTATGGTACAGTGTACATGCACATTGGACCAAGTTGTTCATCAACACAATCAGGCTTTTGTGGATTTATACCGGTACTTCGGGAAGCGCTTTTTCAAAGGGAAATAAAATCTGATATCAATTCATTACCGAATGGTCTTGCCCCTTCAGGTTTTTTTCTGTGACTCATTTTATGTAGACTGGTCTAGTATTAACCTTTTCGACTCTCACACTGAATTTATGGTGAAGCTAGTTTATGTACATACATGCACATGTACATGGTATTAGGCCTAACTCCCCAATCCACGTACATGTATATGTACATGTATACACACTTGTAGCTATCCAGGGAACCTTCATTGGACTTTCAATTTTTTAATCCTCCCTGCTGATTTTACACTGGATAGGAATTTATATTGCAGTATTATAGCCATTCAGGGTTATTAACATGTAGGCCTACAGTGTACGTGGACCTTACAAAAATCCAATTACTCCCAGAAATATTGTGAGATATTTACCCTCACGGTGGTTAGCCGTCAGAAAGTGATAACATTTCCAACCAACATGTCAAGTCGAATTTAGCAAGGAAAATGTTGAAAAAAAAAATGAAAAAAAATTACCACTACTGGCTACCACTGCTAAATTTGTTGGTAACCATGTTTGGCATCGGTCAATGATCAGGAGTTAATTGCTGTTGTAAACGAATGGCCCAAATCGAAACCAAAATTGCACAGACTTCTACAAACTGGAAATCGGCCAAAGTAATACATCGGTGGTTTGATGGGGTGAGTGATCCATACACGCAAAAGGGATTTCATAGAAAGCATTTTTGAAGAGTCTCCACTTTTTTGATTGACTGTTGTGGGGCTAAGGATACAGAGGGATTCCAGTAGACTGGCCCAAGTCTGGGGCTAGCGTAGTCTATTTAATCACTGCAAAGGTAATGAGGAATTTGCCAGGACTGGTTAGTACACAGAGAAATGTTTTATTCCTCCATGGTTAGCAGTCCGAGTAACTTGGACCCTACAAATCGCTTTTTTTAAACATTGGGACATGGTCTGGCAATAATATCACCCGATTGATATGTCTAAATAATTATCACCCGACCATGTCCAAACATTTAGGGCCAATTGCCCCATCATGCTCATGTCAACTGCATGTCCAAATGTTTAAAAAGGCAATTTGTAGTGTCCACGTTACTCGGACTACATGTACGTGGTTAGTGCCATAGTGGTAGTCAGTGGTAGTACTGGTACTATATGAACTATTGTTCCCCATGTTCATAATGTTGCATCCATCCCCTGATCACATTGCAAGCATTGGCACATTTTCTTGCCCATAGGACTGGGGTGAAGTTAGGGGCCCTAGCCCTACTCTACATGTATACCATGACTCTTTCCTCTAATCCCCTCTATACTTGCCATGGCCTCAACAGTCACACAGCCACGCCATGATTTAGGATAACATCTGACCATCAGGATACATAATTGTAATGTAACTTCTGTAAGTGAATGGGGTTGAAATAAGCCGTCTGCCTACTGTGCTCGCGTCATTTGCGTGTTATCTTACCTTGATGGTGTGATACTAACTAGCCACTGACGTTACAACATGTACAATGCCAAGCCTAGCAAGCCATTGCCAAATTTCGAAAATTATTTTCCAAACCTACCTAACGTCAGTCCTTAATCTGCAACTTCAAAGCCTAGTCATATGAGTTTCTGAATGTGTCGTCGTTGCTGCTCTGTTCAATTCAAGACTGACTAGGCCAAACTCTAGAGATCTTTTGTCATAAGCTTTACACACAAAACAGATCATGTGGATGGCAATATGGCATTTAGTGTGCGTCACCACCAAACACACGTTGCGCATGCAAGGCTGTTTGCGGTTAGCGCCATCTTGGCGATTTAATGGCAAATTATAGACTGGTTACCTGCCATTACAACCCTCAAAATCTCCAGCTACATGTAGCTAGGACGACAAATGACGACTCGACGCGACTGCTACCGACCCCACCCGACCCCGAATTTTCTTTGTTTTAGTCATAGCTGTTTTAATCAAGGCGCATCCAGGGGAGGTTGCCAACTGTAGCAAGCCCCTCCCCCCAAAAGGCCTTTTATCAGTATTATTATTTTAAAAAAATAAGAGAAAACAGAATTTGGTCTATTTTATTTCCAAAAAGCTCCAAAATGTAGCCTCACCTCTTAGAAAGGCCATAAAAGCTTGTATGATTTTTTTTCCAAATTTTTGCCCCTCCCCCCAAAAAAGTCTACCTCCCAAATATTTGCGTCCTTGGTTTCAGCGTGGCACATGATCATCACCCCTCGAAAAATGGTACACATCATGGTAGTTCCCACAAAGTCTAATCGCAGCCATTTTCAAATGGCTTCCCTCTACTTTCTAGCGCATTGTGGACCGTTTTGGTCGGTAATTTTGTCTACTCTGCCCTCGGATCGAAGCTCCAAAACCCAAGGAATTGATCCTGGCCCATCTATCCGCACAATCCTTCCATTTTTTCCCCGGCCAAACAATATCCTTTTTAAACAGAAACGTAACTGCGGTGGCACTTTTATGCTAATGAGCTCGGAAGAAATTTGCATTTGAATTAGGTCATTAAACCATTGAACCCTAAAACATTACGCCATGGAGCTCCTTTTAATAGCTCCATGATTACACCACGCATGCTCTATTTCCGTCATCGACAGTTACCTGCCGTCGTACTGTGTAGACATAGTTACCGTGACGAAAGGGGAACCAGCCTAACGTGACGTACCATGAATAGGCGCGTGTATTTTCAAATCATATCGGTCATTCTATAAATTTGAGGTCCAACGTGTGACATTTTCCCGTCCCTGTTACAATACTTTGACAAGGGATATATCACTGAAATTTATTTCCAACTATTTTGCGTGTGTGTGTGTTTTTTGCAGGTAATTTGCAGTACTTATTCAGTCTTTGAAATTAAAGAATGAATTCTAAACATTAAAAAAGTCATATACGCCAAATGTAACCCAGGTGGACTCCCTGATCGTACTATGTTACGGAGGGAGTCGTGTAATAATGAACACTGGCTTCCAGCCTGGGCTAATGCCACATGTAACAAGGACAGTAAAATCACAGACCCTTTTACGCTAGACTGTTGAGAAATTGCAAAGGTGCGTGCGTTTCTACGCACATCTGTGTCAAAAAATTGACCGCTTATCGTCAAAAATTACGTGACTGAAAATGCTCTATTACATTAATGGTCAATGCTTTCTTAGAAAGGGTATTTAGAAGCTTCCTCCAGGCGGCAAAATGTCACCGCAAAATTCATCTGCTGCACATATACGCACACGTTTGTGTTGTTTGCGCAGAACAACGTTTATTTACTAATTGTGCGTTTAGGTTTTGTGGAGAAATGGGTTATCTATGCTGGCCCTGAAGGGACATCCAACATTGCAAACATCTTAGCAAATATTTTGCGATAAAATTTGCGATGTCGCACATATTGCCGCAAATATCTTTGCAAATATTTGTGCGGATTTCGAACATTTTGTGGTCCTCCAGTAAACAAAAACTAGGTACTGGGTCTTTGCATGTTATGATGAGGTAACTCACTTCTTTAATCATAAAAACTAGGTACTGGGTCTTTGCAAGTTATGATGAGGTAACTCACTTCTTTAATCATTTGATTTATTTCTCAATGAGATCTAGTCTGAACAGGGATTGAAATTATAGTTTTTCTGTGAGGAAACTTGGTTTAAACCGAAGGCAAAGGGGTATTTGGAGACGTCAGGTAGATGGCTCAAGTTGGCCGAGTGATACGGCCTCTCAAAGCTTTGCTAGAGACGCAAGGGTATGCGCACGCGCAGGAGCTACGGTGAGAAACAATTTAATTCAATTTTACTCGTATTTATTGGTTTCCTGTTGTGTTTCAGACCTTAGCATCATAAAATACTGATCCACCCTGGCTGATCTCAGACGTGTAGTTCTTTGGGAGTTGAGATCTGGGGGTTAGTTCAGAAAACAACTGTATTTGTGCGCCCGTGAGCTGGCGATCATCCCGTCACGTGCACAATTGTGTGTAAAAGGATTAGGTGGCGCGAGAACGCTTGCATAGGGTATACTGTGGGTATACCACTGATCTCTACCTATCTGTCCTGAGCAGAAGCACGCCCTCCACCAGTTGAAGAGAGTCATTTTGGTCAGGAGTGCTCATTTTGTTGGTAGTGATGCGACTGCAACACTTGCGTTTCATAGTCTTTCGAATGCGCAGTTATTACCAAAGGAGCCTCCGTTGCTAAAAACTTACGCCCNTATTTCGGTCCCGGTCGGAGCCCATAGTACTTTACGGATACAGATCTTTTGGCCGTATACAGCAATATGGCTAAAATAGCGAATGCCACTGGTTCTCGGCCAGTCAACTGAATCAAGACACCGAATATAAAGGTGAGGTGTTTCGCTATCCACGTGCAATGCTCCTGCCGTTCGTTATAGGCTTAAATCAAGTCGGACTAACGTTGCTCTTCCGGCCCTTCACATACACGGCCGCTCTCATAACCTTTTTTTTTTTTGTAAGGCGCCTTCATTTGATAACTTTTCAGCGTTATCCGGTGTCAACGTGTGTCATACGCCACAATCAGCAAGTCTGTTTTGACGGATATTGAGCCAACCATCAAGTGATAAGTTATGTAGTTATTCATAATTGCATATGAACCTCATAGAGTACCGAAGTGAATACGTCACGCGCAGAATTAGTGTGTAAAAGGCATTAGCGCGAGAACCAGCGCGAGAACCAACACACGTGCGTACTCCATTCGTTTGCACTGCACTTTCTGGTTCACAGTGAACGTCACACTTCGGTACTCTATTATCTTGCATAATGTGTACAGAATTTCCACCAATCAAAGTAGTCAAACTTGACCTTTCCACCAATCAAAATAGTCAAACTTGTAGACTCTTTCATTATTAAAAAGAAATATGAACAATGTTATAACTAGTCCAGCAATTTGATTGGCTGCTACCACGTTTGGTGGATGAACCCATTCGCTGTGTACAAACGACTGGTATGGCAGATTCGTCAAGTCGGGATTTCAGAACTCACAGTAATAAGAGGACACAAGAGGGTACGAAGCAAGTAACGACGCGCGGCCTGGATATACAGGTATGTATCCAAAGCATGAACGAAGACGTCACAGAGACTCCGACTTGAGTGAAGTCTATACATTCGTGTGCTCAGGATCAGGAGTGCACTCGTGTTAACACGAGTAACACAGCCATTTTACCTGGTACCCAGTACCGTACCCCAGATTGGTACTAGTTGCAATGGAATCGATTGGTCCAGGGTCAGACGAGGAAAATACTTTGCAAAGGGCTCTAGAATTAACAGGGCTGTGGCTAGGGCTTCGTATTTACCATTTGTGCGCCTCGGTGAAGGCTCTTTGATGTAACCGGCAACAATAAGTGGCTCTATTTCGCTCATCGCCCAACGGCCGAACAGGGCTCTGGGAAGGGGTGATGCATGAAATTCCGTATCTGCCGTCGCCCGTCGTGCTTGGTTTTTTTTGTCACGATTGCGCAGTGGTATCAAACCTTGATCGTTTCACATCATTGTTTGATCGATCCACCATGCCTGACTCTCATTTTAGCAGTGGAACTAGAAGATGTATTCGTTTTTTAAGTTGCGCCGAACTCCAATCGAAAGAAGAAATAATATCCTGACATCAGTAAAGTGACGTGTATATGAAATAATACTATTTTTTGTTACATAAATAAATTAACAAAATAGACTTTTGTCAGGGTAGATTGTTTTTCTAGATAACTTAGTTACTCTAGACGTAACTTTACTCGTTAACACCCTGACGTTATGGCCTATGTAATATTTCTGTCTGTCATGCACAATCTCTCACAGAACTGATTGTAAATAATAAATTATTTACAATGTTTGATTCCTTAATAGTTTTCATAAGAGTTGAACTGATTTAGCATTATTTTGAGGGCGGGTATACCAATGATGAAATCTGCTGTATACTCCAAATTAGACATGACTTGAGTTGCAGGTAGGCTCACAGAAGTCTTTTAAACAGTAAAGTTACTTGTTAGCCACATAAATAATGCTGATATGCTGGACAACCTGCTCTCATTGGTCTATCTACCATGGCATACACACCCACAAAAAACAACACGTCACATTTTCTGAAACTTAAACCAAGTGGTAATTGCCCCCTAACAATACATTTAATAAACAGTTTGTTATCCACAGCACTGTCTAGTATTTCTGTATTTCAAGGTGAAATTGAATGGACAAAATGGAATATCTGTATCGGTTGGCAGATTTCTTTCTAGAATTTGATGAAAACAAGTCGGCACATTTTTACAATATGCAAATTAGAATTTAACTGTGGATAAGTTGGCCTGAACATTTTTGCTGAAAATGTTTTCCCCCAAAAAAACACTTGGTTGAATTATCAGAAAGGCGACATTTTCTTGTCAAGGGGCAGGGGTAGTCTAGCATTATGGGCATTAATTATGGGACTAGTTTTGCAGGTGGGATTTGTACTTGCCATATTGGGAAAATATCCTTAGA